CTGCTGCCTGCCTCTCCAGCACACGGTCCCAAGTTCAATTCTTGGTACCAAAAACAAGTAAGCTGACATTGGTGAAAAAGCTAAACCTCCCAGTTTGACATATCTGCTAAATTATTTCCATTTACTCTTCCTTCACATATCTAAATCTTTTAATGGTTAAATTATATAAGGATATACTTTTATATCCAGGAGGCATAGTCAGTGCCCCATAGCCAAGAAAGCACACAGGAGGGCTGGGAATTTAGCTCAGTGGTTCCACCGCCTGCCTTGCAAGTGCAAAGTCCTGAGTTTGATCCCCATACAAAAAAAAAAAAGGCGCACAGGAAATCTGCTCACATTTTTTATGGAACACCATTATACCATACAGAAATAAATGAGGCATGGCTCTTACCCCCAAAACCAGTCTATAGCCATGAACTCTTTCTTTCTCTACCCACCTGCATGTTTAACTTCTGGCAAACTTCACATTTAAATAACAATGATCTTAACAGCTTACACTTTAATAAATGCTTAATTTTTCTAAAGTCTTACCAAAAAATCTTATAAGTAAGGCTGTTCAATGGCTTTGAGTTTAAGATTGCTCATTAATTTAAAAAACCAGGGCAGAAACTTCAGTGTTCAGACAAGTGGCTTTGGTTGTTTGAGGTTTACTGTTGGAAATTGTATGGATTCCACTAATAAGTTAAGGTATGCAAGGTAAAAATGTCTAAGCATTGCATATAAGCACAACCTTCTTTCGGGGGAGGTGGGAGGGGATGGGTGTAATCATAGCATCCGAACCTTTGTGTAGTACTTATCACAGCTCTCCAAGAAACTGTACACTGGATTAAATTTACAGCAGAGTCCCAAAACAAAAGTTTGGTTCTGGGGACTTGCAAGAGAATGAGAGAGTGAGCAAGTCATGAATACTTTTGGATACCAATAAAAACCATGTATCAGGGGAGTATAGTAGGTCACAGATGCTATCCAAACCAAAAACAAACAAACAAACAAAAACTGTGTTAAAGACTGCCTCGTTTTTTAAAATATTTTTGATGGCAGAATTCTCAATGTGTGAGCATAACCGTAACAGCCTCTGTACAGCAAGATATTTCTAACACCATGGAGCTGCCAAAGCCGTCACACGAAAGAAGCATTAAAGTGGGGTGAGGGAGAAAAAGAGTAGCAATCAACCCTGAAAGTAGTCACATGAACTACATCCAACCAATATTGTTTACACAAAACACAGTGGCATCGAATCATTTTTTAAAGACTTGGTTTTGTCTCCTTTTTAATTATGAAGGATAAAATAAAATTGAGTGACTGAGAGGAATAAATAGATAATGAAGTATCAAGGGTTTTTATATAGAAGCTCCTTATTAAAATGACTGTCTCCTTCAACTGTTTAATCTAATTTCTGCAAGGCAGGTTTTCACTTGTTCTGCTCATATAAATGCACAGGTATTAGAGGTATTATTAAGACACTGTGTAGTTCACACCCAGAGCTTAAAGAGCTACTTTAACCCCTTAAATGCTCAGTGAAGCAACTCTCCACTGGGGTTAGTCTACTGCTTTTCTCTTCCTGTTCCTTCCTCTTCATGGAAATTTATAATACCTGACAGACTACTAGAATGTGTTTTAACATTGTATATCAGACTTATATGCTATGTAGTGAATAATTCCAAACAACAAGAGGTCTCTATCACCTCTAACAATACATTGTCTAGGTATTAGAGGATGTAAGAAAGTTCATTTGTAGTCTGTCTTCAGGAGGCCTGGAGCCATAGATCTACAGTGAGATCCATTTCCTCTGCAGGTCCAAAGACCAGGCAATTTAGTATCTATACTAGGACATTTTTGAGAGTTTGAACAGCAATTCCTAATTGCATAAGGACAACAGGTATAAACTGCAAGTTTCTTGATCAAATCAGAACCGATGGTCACCCTATTTATGAGTATATGGGTCACAGAAGCTATAGAATCATGGAGGATGGAGACTTTCCCATTGCCTGGGATCTTCCCATTTCCACTGCTGATGTCATTATTATGTATGACTGCTGAAGCACCAAGTATTCAGATGGAGTCCCCAGTTCAGTCCAAATAATGTAGAATGCAAGCCTGGTTATGTATTTTGTAGAGAACAATCATGATGTGAGGACAGGTGTGCAGGTCTAGTCCAGAGCTCAGGAAAATTACTTTTACTATTTCCCACGAGCATTTTTTCTCTCCTCATTCATCCCTTTTCCAGATATGTTTAACTGTAATTTTTTTTCAAGTCCCAAATCAAGTGCCCCTTCTTACACAAGCATATCCTCGCTGGCTGAAACCAACTTCCCTCACATAATAGTGGGTCTGTCTGTCTGCAACGACTGCCATTTGCATTATTGACTGCAGTTATTTACTGACGGGCACCTCACTCTCCCTACACCTCTAGTTCTGTGATATGGAAGCCAGGCACCAACATGGTGCTGACTCTTACCTCTGGTATTCATGCTTTTTGTATAGTTGTCTCCTCTTGCAACCCAACCCAAAGCACGCTAAACAGAGATGATACGTACAGCTAATGAGGCATTGCAGAAATGGTAGCACGACTACCATTTCAAAGGAATTGAGGCTTTCTTCCTGCTTTGTCTGTTAGATCAATTGATCTGGAAGAAGTCTGTTGCCATGTTATGAGGACCATTAAGCATCCCTATCAAAAGCCATCTGAGACAAAAATGGTATTTCCTGCTGATAACCAGCACCAACTTTTCAACGGTACCTGTAGGCCATCTTACAAGTGGATCTTCTATCCTCAAATAAGTTTCTAGATGTCTATAGCCACAGTTTATATTCTAACTGAAACTTAGGATAACCTAAACCAGAAGTGCTACCAGCAGAGCTGCATCTGAATTTCTAATCCACAGACAGTAAGATTATAAATGGGTATTTAAGCCACTGAGTTCTAGGATAATCAGTACAATGAAAGTAAAAAATGTTTGGGCATTGGTTCAGGACTTAGCATGGTCTCCAGAACAGAACAGGCATGCCATAAATATTTGCACAACCGAAGCGAGTTGAACTGAGTGGTGCTGTTAGGCTAAGCACTGTGTTAAAATGTGATGGTGCCTCTTAGGACAGCAGGCACATTTCTGACCCGGTGGGCCCTGAGTGAACTTTCCAAAACAATCCATTCACGCATGAGTAGGCAATAATAATTAACAGTAGCTTAGACTTTTTTAACAGTTGCCACATAAAGTTGTACTTTAAAAGTGTGATGGTTTAGATTTAAATGTTCCCCAAAAGCACTCCCATGTGCTCAGAGCTGGGGCTTTCAGAAAACAACTGGGTCATGGGACACTGTATTCATCCACAGTTCAGTCCACAAATGAGGGGGCCTAGCTGAAGAAGGTAAACCCCTTGGGGCACTACTGGAAGGGTGTGTCTCTCTCTCTCTCTCTCTCTCTCTCTCCCCCTCACTCCCCTCCCCCTGCCTCCTGGCTGCCATGGATTGAAGAGCTTTCTTTGGCTTTAAGTTTTGGACGCCAGGTATTTTGTCCTAGTGAAGGGAAAATGACTAATGCAAACAGTATAAATTTCATTTCATCTGCACAAAACCCCTCTGAGTTAGATATTATTGTCTCATTTGGCAGATAAGGAAATTGAGATACAGTAAGTTAGGTCCCTTGTACGTGCCTATCCACCCTGATAAAGAATGGTACACAATAGTTTGTCTTGGTCTTCATTAGAACTGTCAATAAATCAAACTTCAGATAACTTGTGATCAGATTGAGGCTCAAGTTTGAGAACTGCTGTTCTAGATTATCTGGATTTTGAGGACTATTTGACCAGTAGTAGAAACGGGGCAGATATCCAGCTGCTGGTCCTAGCTCTTTTATTCTGACTTTGGCCCTTTCCAAACTAGGTGCTAGCTCCCTGTGTCACTTACCCCTTAACAAGTTGAGTAACTGAGCTGCTCAACCTGCAGAAAACTCCAGCAAGCTGGGAAAATACCACTGAGAAAGATATGCAAATAGGGAGGTTGTTCAGGCTTTGATGACACTTTCAATATCCCTGTTAAATGAGCAAGGTCTTTGGGTGAGTGAGGGACAGTCCCTAACTCTGGAATTCCCACTAAGAGATAGGAACTTTCCTACCTTAGAAAACCCAAATCTTTTCAGTCCGATGGAGCTCCTGAAGAATTTTTTCACAAAGAATTTCTCCCCAAAAAACTCATCCTATAAACAGGAATGCAAGTATGTGCACACACGCACACGTTAAATGAGCAAGGTCTTTGGGTGAGTGAGGGACAGTCCCTAACTCTGGAATTCCCACTAAGAGATAGGAACTTTTATACCTTAGAAAACCCAAATCTTTTCAGTCCGATGGAGCTCCTGAAGAATTTTTTCACAAAGAATTTCTCCCCAAAAAACTCATCCTATAAACAGGAATGCAAGTATGTGCACACACACACACGCACACACACACACACACACACACACACCCCTACAAACCAACCCATTTAGTGTTTCTAATAAACCTCTGACTTCATGGTGATATCTATCTTTTTTATTTAAACAATAACAGTAATATAAGATAATATAAGAATAACTATACTTAATGGATTATCACCTGAAACTCTTGATTTGGATTATGTTTATTACATGGAAAATGATTACTTCTGATTACTTCATAAAATAATAGTTAAATTCAGACAAACTCTGTATCTCTTTCCACACTTTCCCAAAGCTGTGGTTATGTTTTTGTCCTTTGGTTATTACAGATACACTCTCCTGCCTCACTCTTTTTTTTACTCTACATTTAAAGGGGGAAAAAAAAAGCAAAATGAAAAACACTTCCATTTGAAATTTAAAGGTTGAAAACGTAACAACACAAATTCTAGGAAACACAAGTGTTCATCTACACTGCATACACGTTCTTCTTATGTTACTATTTAAATCTTAAAAGTACAGTACAGTATAAGCCTAAAATAGCTCAAACATTCTGACAATGTTTCAGTAACAAACACCTCATCAGGGCTCCACGAGGAACTTCAGCAAAAAGCCGGATATCATTTGCTTTGCTTCTGTTTATCCTAAGAAAATCAGAGAAGGCAAAACTTAAAGCATGCCAGAAATTTGTAAGAATACATTGAGAAACACCATCTCAACTAAAAGGAAGAGTGGGGGCTCCTTCAAGAGCTGCCGACGAAGAGACTCAGGAGTAGCCCTTAGGAAAACACTCTAAACACCTGAGGTTCATAAGAATCACTTGGGATCTTGTTTCAATGCAGGCCTCCGCTAGGCCTGAGTTTATGCATTGGTCACTGGTTTCCCGGTACTGCTAAGGCTTACCTGGACCTGCTCAGACCTATTCTATTCCAGTTCTCCATTCACAGATTTATCTCAGACGAGCTTCACAGTGAGAGGGACAACTGCTTCTATTACTTCCTGGGTTTGGTTTGCTTGTTTTGGTACCGGGGATGGAACTCAGGCAGGACCTGAGGCTTGTGAGGCAGTCAGTGGAACCACTGAGCTAAATCCGTGGCCCTTCCTGGTTTGTTTTTCAAAGCCAAGATACAAAAATCATCCCATTCTAGTAACATTTATAATAAAAAAGTAAGTTAACATGATGTCTTTCTTCCCTGAGAAAAGGTGCCTTTCCACCCATACAGTGTGCTTGAACTTATTTTCTGTGTGACACTGGAGAAAATTCTGAGCTCTTTGAGCCTTAGCCATTTACTGAATCACATTGAACGAACTTTTACCAGGTACCAGGTCTTGTTTTAGCCTAGAGATGAAATGGGAGATTGACAATCCAGAGAAGACAGAGGTGATTGCAGAGCAGCATTCAGATGAAATGGGGGCCAGGACACGGATCGGTCGGCGGGGTCACAGTAGCCAGGAAGAGGGTGGCAAACAGACTGAGAACTACCTGACAAATATGAACTAGCCCCGCCAAGGCAAAGACCATCCTGGCCTAACTACTATTATAATAATGGCTCTCAAGGAACTATTACTTTGTTTCCACACTAGTGTACAGAACAAATATGGAGCACTACTGTGTGTTTGCTCTTCTTATCAAGCGATGAAATCTACTTCTCCCTGAATCTCAGCCACCCTGTGACTTGCTCAGACCAATAACAAGATGTTGCTATTCAAAAGAAAAGTACTGAAATGTCAGTGTCTTGAAAGTTCACCTCTCCCGACACAGCTGCATACCAGCCTGTTCCTTGCATGCTCCTGAGGCTGAATAAAATGGAACTACTTTTTAAACTAGAATTGTCTCAGAGGAAAAAAAAATCTCATTTCCTCTGTCAAAAGTGAACAGTAACTAGGACTGGTCATGCTATAATTCAGCATTCAAGGGGAGAATCCTCTACAGTCTAGAACATTCTACAAAAAATAGGCTTTTTTTCCTTGGGGAAAACGCTTGTTCTGTGAACTTGGGGAGGCTCCTCCATGCCAGGAGATAGCTGGAGTGCAAACAGAGCAATCTAGATGGAAAAATTATGTCACAAAAAGAATTTTCTAGATCTTGTGAAGGAAAGTATCACAAAGGTGCTACAGAAGAATGTGTGGTAGAGAATGAAGGTTTTATAGACTGAATTTGTGTTAAGGAGTAGGAACTTTTTTTCTTTTTTTAATTTGTTTTTCACTGGTACATTTTACATATACATAATGATAACATTCATCGTAGGGAATTTGTACACGATATATCTTGCTTCTTTTCTTTCCCCCGTTTACCTCCCCTCCCTTCAACCCCCCCTTCTCCTCCTTATTTACAAAAGAGCATTGTTTCCATTTTATTCTCTCTCTCTTTTTTTTCCCCTTGGCTTGTGTATTTTTGTATGACTGGCTTCAATAAAAGAACTTCAATAAAGGAACTTCTCTGCCGACGATGCCATCAGGGAACCTAAATTTACCAATCTGGGAAAACAAGTGTACAACACTAGCCAGAGACAGCAGAATGCATCATCTTCCCATTTTCCCAGGGAGAAGGATGAACTTCCAGAAGCTTTCAAAGCCAGCAGTTAGGTCCTGATACTCCTAGTCCACCTGTGATACCGAGACCCTTCATGCAACCTTGGGCTGCTGACACCTACCCAGATCCCTACGGCGCCCTGAGCCTTAACCTGCTTTTTCCTTTCGCGTTTCTACCCTGTCAAGCTTCCTTTCTCTCAGAGAATCATTCAGTATCTCTCCATCTCTCTGCCACTCTTCCTGTCTCTCTTCTCTTTTCATTTCATGGTCCTGGGGATGGAACTCACGAGCACCAGACAAGCGCCCCTCCTCTGCTGAGCTACACCCCAAGACCCCAGAATCTCTTTTAAAAATATCAATAGTATGGTAATGTGTCAATGATCGGATTATCTACATTTTAAAATACAGAGCTTAAAAATCTCAAATAATTCTCTTAACTGGCAGGACTTTAGGCAATTTAATAAAGTAAAAACCAGGCTGTAGATACACATTGGGAAGGGAGAGGGGATTTCCAGGTAGCTCATACAGAACGTGCACAGCCCCTTTGAGTCTTTTCCACTTTCCATAGCTTCTCCCTTCATCCAATCACTAACTACCCAAATACTTTAAAAAATCGATAGTTGTAGCAATCTCCCTCACTCATCCAGTGACGAAGGAGTTTTAGATCAGTGATACTGGTGTTTGATGTTAGTGATTAATGTTACATCAGGGAGAAAACGGTACACCAGAATCCACCAGCACAAGTAGCAAGCTTGCCTTAAACTAAACATCGGTGCATTACTATTTATAATAATACACAGTAAATTACCATTTTACAAAAATAAACAGTAAAATCTTATAAGAAATGTATTGGTTTTTTGTGAGGTTTTTGCTTTTTTTTTTTTTTTTTTTTTTTTTTTTTTTTTAAGTGGTTTTTGTCTCACTATGTAGTTGACACTGACCTGGAATTCACTATGTAGCCCAGGCTGGTCTCGACCTCACAGTGATCCTCCTGCCTCAGCCTCCTGAGTGCTGGGATTACAGGTGTGTGCCACCACGCCCAGCAAGAAATGTATTGCATTAAAGCTTGACAATTCCATTAAATGAATGGACTACAATAAAACTGTAGTTATTAGCTAAGTCCTATTAATGTTTTAATTCTCTTTGATTTCTTTTTCTCCCAGTCTTCTATTATGCTTTCTATGGGTTGTTTCCACAATCCTTTCATTTTCCTGGTTTGTTGCTTGCTTAGGTCTTATTTCTGTGAACTGTCTTTTTCAGGAGCCAAAAGCACCATCTCCTTTTCCTTAGGACATGTATATTCAAGCTCTCTTTTGGTTAACCCGAGTCCTGACTTAGTTCATATATTGCCCGAGTGAAGGTGTCTCACAGTACTTTGCTATTAGCACTAAAGTATGGAAAGGTGAGACTGAGTGATTGTTAAGTGTATGCTAGGCAGATTCGAGGTAATTCTAAGAATTGAGTCTTGGCTGAATTAAATCTAACGATTGGCATTAAAGACAGCATAGGACACAACCTAGCCCAAGCCACTCATCTTGTGCATTCCACAAGGGTGATCAATCCTTTGGCCTGGGTCTGACAGATGCCACCAACCTTTTCCCAGGTCTCCATCCTTAAATGAAAACCAACTGATTCTCATCCTGCTACAGAAGTACTTCATGCTTTCAACAATTCCTAGCAGTACCATTATATCACAAGCCAGCCCAATAATTAATACCCAAAAGAACTGAGGATAAAGCTGAGGGAAAAAATGTAAAATGACAGTAACAGTAATAAGTAAACTACACAAATGTCAAAAGCTTATTTCTCATTCACATAATAGTGGAAACTTACATGCAGCCATCCACTCTGATTCAGAGTTCCAAATTCCTTTTGTCTTTGGGCGCTGCTGTGTTCAGTACAAAATCCTACAGAAGAAAAAAGAGAAAGTGAAGAAATTATAACCATCCTACCCTCATCATTGACATACATTTCCATTTCCTTACTATTCCTAAGAATTAGTTACATGGCCCCATCTACATGCAAGGTGGACTGGAAACTGCAGAACTTGGCCAGGAAGCTACACAAAACAGCTCTGTACTTCAGATGAAAAACACAAATATTTTTTAATCTTTTTCTACCTCTGCCCTATGAAAATTCACTGACTACTAAAAAAAAAAGATGACAAAAATCAAATGATTGTTTTTCCAGCTCTCCTGAAAGACACAGGACCATCGTGTAGTGTGAGTCTATCAGATGAACCCATCCAAGTTCTTACATCTGGAGTTGGCAGACCAAGGAAGGTGGATCAGGAAAGAATTATCTCTGTTCAGAGGCAGCAGTGGCAACTTACAAAATGCCACTGTCGGCAGCCAAGGTCCCTTGCTGATGTATCAAAAGCAGATGCCATGACACCCACTCTTGTAGTTTTGCCTTCTTCCTCCTCTTTTTTTCAGTATTGAAGATTAAACCTAGAGCCTTCCTATTAAGCTACATCTCCAGCCCTTTTAATCTATATTGTTTTTCTTTAAGACAGGATCTCACTTATTCTCCCAAGCTGGGCTGGAACTTGTCATCATTCTCCTGCTTCAGCCTCCTAGAATGCTAGGATTGCCTGTGCGTGTCACCAGGCCTGGCTTAATTGTGCTTTTATAATGCTAGGAGATGAGAATTATTTGGACTATTCTTATAAAGGCACAGATTCCCTTAGTAGTTGCCTGTTGAAAAGTGCTTAGTTACCCAGCTTTCCTAGAAATTCTATAAATTATTAGTTTTCCATCAATAAAATTCCCTTTCTACTTATATCAGTAAGAGTCCATTTCTGTTGTATGCCACTAAAAATCCTGACTGGTATAATAATGAATGACACCACTCTGATGGTGGAGAATGGAGAAGGAACATTAAAACAATGATATTGGTTTTATTAGGCAAATGTCACTGAGTGAAAATCCAATTAAAGGAAGCTCCAAAAACATTTCCAGAAATTGGCAACATTATTAGAGCAAGTGTCAAATTCTCCAAGGTGACTGTATTGAGGGAGATAATGTCTGGATGGACATGTAAAAGGAGGCACTTTGGAATAATTTTTCAAAGCATATGTGGCACATAGTGATAGAAAGTGTAGCCGAAATAAATGAAGCCTGTGGTTTAAGAAAGCTAAGAAATATCACCAGTGAACCACTGTATGTACAGATGGCTTTATATATTATGGTCTTTTCCTGCACTGTGTATCTTGCCTATATGGATAACATGACTACAAAAAATGCATGTTACTCACAAGATGTTCTGCAATAATTTTTGTTTCTACCTCTGTGTAGTAGATAATTCATCTACTGATAATGACATACACTGCCTTTTCTATGAACCCCCCTTTTTTTTTTGCTATTTTTTTCTAAGCCTATGTTTGATGGTTAGAAGGTTTAGCCATATTGTGAAATCCCTCTCTTCTCTTGGCCTCTCTGTGACCTTGGTCAAGTAATTTGTCCTTCCTGACTTTGGATTTCCCTTCCAACCAGGAAAACTTGATGGAAGGGCAAAGAGTAAGATGTAGGTTGTTAGCAAGGTTTGCCTGTTATTTTGTTTGAATTTTATGCAGCTATGCAATATACATTTTAAATAATTGACTATGTAACTAAATCAAATTGGGCCATAGAGGGCTGGGGATTTAGCTCAGTGGTTCCGCCGCCTGCCTTGCAAGCACAAGGACCCCAATTAGATCCCCAGTACCAAAAAAGAGAAAAACAAAACAAAAACAAAGACAAAATTGTACCATAGAAGAACCATTTATAAGCATGCATCGTGGACTAAGGATTATGATTTAGCCAAGTACAGGCACTTGAACCCTTCCCTCCCCCTCCAAAAACCAAAAAAATAAAAAAATTAACAAACTATAAAAATATTATCAAGTAACCAAGTTAAATTAGTGACTTGTCTTCCTAGAAACTGAAAAATCATTGGCTTAGAAAATGAGTCCACTGAAGAGGATTTCCATTTTTAAAATTACACTGATATATAATAGGGGTTCCATTTCCTACTCCAAAACTCAGAGATCAATTGAGCACAAAGGTAGTAACTTCAATTTTGTCTGCTCAGTTCACAAATGCATCATTCACTGCAAAACAAATATTATTTAGAAGCTTCAATTTATTATTTGAAACAGAAATAGAATGGATGGTGTTAATTGAAGTATCCGAGTTGTCATTTTATGAATATTTTAGTTCCATTATAAATTACTCACTGGCTCAGATGTGTCAGCTTTCTTCCCCCACCCGCCCTTCCATGCCCTAAAACATCTCTGCTCTAGTAAATAATTAAAGGATATCAGAAAAAAGTCGAAGAGAGTTTGACATTAGGATATCTCATGATGGATAATGTTAAAGTTAGCCACAAATAACAAATGTCTCTTAATTAACTACAGCTAAAGGAATTACCTACCAGGTCCCGTCAGTGAAGACTCATTCTCTAGCGCCTCCCTCCCCATTTGTAATGTTGTACTACTGACATTAGGTAATGGCAGACTCAACTCTCACATAATGGATAAGATTCTGTCAAGTGAATGTGGCTCCTCCAAATTTCAGGTATTGACAACATGAGTTTTAAGAGGTGAGGCCTTCAAAAGGCACATAGGCCATGGGGGCTCTGCTTTGTGAAGGGATCAGGTCCCATTTGAAGGGGTGTGATGGAGGGAGTTTGCACTCTCTTGCCCTTGCACCTTCCACACAACAAGAAAGGCCTCACCACACATCAGTGCATTGCTGTTAAACTTCCCAGCTCCCCAAATGGTAAGAAATAGATTCTTGTTCTACATAAATTACTCAAACTGTTATTCAGTTATAGTAGCATAAAACAAACTAAGACTCAATAGGCTCTGTTGGAAAGATTACTTGCTTAGACTATGAAGATCTTATGGCTTCTATCTGCTAGGCCTCTGAGGCAAAGCAAACAATATAACAACTAAACAAAGAATATCCAAATATCAACAAAGGTGGAAAAGGACAGAGGAAGACAAAGAAGGTAAAATTCAGCCAAATGGGAATGAACGCTGAAAAAGAATTGAACCACAGTTGAAGGAACTCAAGGGGATGCTGTCTTGTGTTCACAACTGTATTTTGCCATTTTTAAAGCAAATTAGAATACTCTGTTGATATATGATACCAACTGTCATTAACAGACAAGTTGAACTGCTTATGCTATGAAAAAGTTATATATAATGCATGTATCTATATATGTATACATTGAAACATGCTTTTAATGACATATAAAAGAATACACTGAAAAAACAGTATAGAGTGTTTCTTTTGTCAATTAATAACCAGAATATAAAAACAAACTATAGTGTATCTCCTGTTCTGTTCTATGAATAAATAAATCCCCAAGAGTAATCTAAATCATAATCCAAACTATTTACTGAAAACATAGCAAATATTCTATGCAACCAATCATGGTTTCAAGTTACAAAGTTATTTTTCTTCATTTCCAGCACATAGACTCAGTAAAAATTCAGAAAATCTTATTCCATGGACACATTGATATAAGGCAAAATTTAGAGTATATTCTATTCCAGTCATTCTTATCTCAAGGTTTAATATTTTATTGCAAGCAGAAGTTGTACATCGTAGGCCTGGGGATTAGCTCAGTGGTGCCTCCACCTGCCTCACAAGCACAAGGACCCGAGCTTAATTCCCAGTACTGGAGCGGGAAAAAAGAAGTTATACATCTTTCGGGGGTTTATATGCTATTACTCCTAATTGCAATTCTAGTATTCTCCTTCAATGCTTCTGTTCTTTGTATATTGTATTTAAAGTTCTACCTTTTTATTTTCTGTTGGAATTCAGTGAGTTGGGGAAGAATCTATTCAGCATGGGAAGACACAGGTAATAAGAGAAACATGAGTCAGCACTGACACCTGAATGCCAACGCACAAACAGTGCCTACACGAACACCCCCTGGACTTAGCCAGGACTTTTGTATCTGTGTTCCATCATGTCCTGAGAGTTGAGTCACATGGAATCTCTCCGTACCCTTGCACTCCGCAACCATGCTCCCATTCAAAGACTGTTTCAAACACAGACCAAATACATACGTTTTTTCCCCTGTGCTTGGCCCAATTATACTGTATTGCTCCAAATAATAAATGTTCATAAAAATAAGAAACGTATTAGATACGAAGGTTATTATTGCCCTGTGGCCTATAAGTTGAATTGGTTCACATATGTTTCCAATAGAATCTTTAATTAAGATTCCTTTCCTATCAATGTGCTTCAGTAATTATCTGTATTGACGATGGGCTATTATTCCCCTGGCAACGTAATAACCTCACAGGAGTGTCTTCTAGAAGTAACAGGTCACTTCTAGAATATTTCTGCTTTTTAAATTTTTTGACTAATTTACCTAAATGACCTGGTACTGAACAACTCCTTGTTCAACTGAAAATAAATTGAGTACACAATTTTTAAAAATTCAGTTGGGTTAGAAACTACACTCCTTAAGAACTCCGTTGAGTAACACCTTCATTCATCAATCAATTCATGCCTTTGCCCCTAGTCACGGCGCTCCAGTGGAGCTGATGATGATGAGGAGGATTTGTCTACACCACTGAGACAACAAACAGGGGCCGGCTTGCACGGAACCCTGAATGAGACCAAAAGAGTCTGTGGTAATAAAAATTTCTTTTAATGTCCTCTCCCCAGGCAGCACTGACAATAAGACAGATATTTTGGTGTTTGGCATGTCCTGTCTATTTCTGTCAAGGAGGTACCCCAGGAAGATGGGCCGAAAGTTTTACACTAAAAGAATGCCTTCTGCACACCTAATTTTAAAGAATATCCCTCCTCATGTCTAGACCTGCTTGATGATCTCTGCTATTCTCAGAGTCCTTTTCCTCTCGACTTTGCTGCTTCTTCCTGATCTGTCCTATCCTCTACCTTCC